GGGGGGGGGCTTGGCAGACTGGAGGGAAAAGTCGCCGTGTGTGTGTTTGCAAAGGAGAAATTTAGGGGCACGATGGAGATCGGTGGCCGCCGGGGGCGCTCTGGTGTCAGCGTCCTGTTCCCACTGACGAGCGAGAATCGGCGGCGAGGTTCCCCCTGTCGAGCATTTGCTTCTTGCCTGCTTGTGCTCGGGAGCGGGAAGAACAAAGCTCCATCAATCACATTCAATCCAGGAGGTGGGCAGCGGCCTATGGGCGGCTTGCGAAAGAGCTGACGCCGCGAATCTGGCAACGTGTGCGGCCGGGACAGTCTGATCAGCGGGCCGTGATCGGGCAATCGAGGACTGGCAGTGGGCCAGCGGATCAACGTCGCGTTAGTCTTCTTGGGCGCGTGTCCCGCCTAGGGTTTCATGGGCTCGTGGGCCTGCGTCGTCGTGACGTGCCGGCTCCGCAGCATCTGCTGACAAGCGCGGTTGGTGCTGCACGGGATGCGGGCGGAGACCTTCCGCATGAAGCGCGTCTGGACGGCGGAGGATTGGGGACGACGTTGGTGCGATGTGACGGGCTCGTGGCGCGCGCGCGTCCCGGACGGGAAAGCGGCTGGAGGAGCAGAGGCTTTGTTTGGGGGGCCGGTCTTGCGCCAAGCCGGGGGGTGCTCGAGGCCCGCCATTCGCCACTGCTGGCCGACTCCTGGCCGTCGGGACGGGCAGCAGGCAGCAGTCTCGCCGTATTGCTTCCGTTTAGCTCTGCTCACATGCAGGGCATCTGTGCGGATGGCAGCGGAAAGGCGTGCGTGCTGCTGCTTGGTCCCAGGCGCGCGGTCAGGCGGGCGCAAGTATTGGCTGCCAGATTGTGGTGGAGAGAACTCGTTAAGAGTAGCCGGATATGGCAGGCTGTCGGCCCATGTGCGAGGTGGTGAGCGCTGAACCCTGCGATCCGGCGTGGTGGTGCGGGAGTGATGGCAGGCTGGCGGTGGATCGGTGGTGGGGATCTGGAGGCCTTCGCCGGGCTCCCGCCATCTCCGGCCGCTGGACGGGCGTGCCGTTGCGCGCACGTCTCTCAATATTGGCCGAGTCAGCAGCATTAAGGTTGTTCCCTATACTAAGCCCTGGGCTGCGCGATCTTACCAGCCCAGATACAGCCCCAGCCTCCGCAGGGGACCCCGAGCCAGGCATTTGCCGACCGCGCGACTCGTCTGGTAATTGCAGGGAGAAGCCTGCGCCCGCACGTGGTCGAGCAAGGAGCTCGTGTCTCCAGCGCAGCGCCCGGATGCGGTTGCGTGCAGCAGTCATGGATCTGACTGCTGAAACGCAGATCCGCGACAGCGTTTGACCGCCCGCGCCGTTGGCTGCAGAACCGCCGCTGCCACCGTCTCCGCCCACCCGCCGCGCAGCGCGCCCGCCGGAGCAGCAGAGCGCGCGGCGAAAACGGCCCCGACGCAGCGGCCAGGCGCACGGCGCGGGCGGCGAGGAGGCTGCCATGCCGCGGATCTGCGCTGCATTGACTGAATCTCCGAGCAATTCGAGATTGTCCGACCTTGGACATGATATCACCGGGCAGCGAGAGCAGCCGTCGTCGAAACATGGTTCGGCTTGGCTTTGGGCGGATCCGCCCCTGCCTGAGCCCCTGCCCGCACATCCACCGGCCTCAAGCCTCAGCACCAGCGCAGCAGCTCTCCTCGTGGCCGTGGCCCGCGCGCCGTTCACCGCACGCCGTGCCGCCGCATCGCCGTCAAGCGCCCGCCAGCCCCAGCCGCTGTCAGCAGCCCTGCTGCCCTGCTGCCCGGCTGCCCTGCAGCGCGCTGCACAGCGCGGGCGGCGTGCTGGTCTGGCTGCTGCTGCGCTGCTTTGCCATGTCTGCGCTGCGCAGAAGCTCGCGCGCGCTGGCACGCTACCGCTGGTGGCCTCGGTGCACTTGCTCTTCACGGCCGTCGGCGCTGTTTATGCAGCGGGCTCGCTGCCGAATCGGTGCTGACAGGGGCGGCGCGGGCGCCTGCTGGCCCGCCTGCTCTCCCAGATTTGCCGCCGTCCAGCACTGTACCCTTCATCCGCCGCCTGTCTCGACTTGATGGCGCCGCGATAGAGCAACGATACGCCAGCAGCCCGGGTCAGGGCACGTCCGTCGCGCCGTCCGCCAGCGTGCTGGCTGCTCAGCCGCGCAGCCTGCCTGCGGCCGGCGATGCGTCGGCGCCCGCTGCTGTCTGCGCCGGTGCCCGCGCCGCCGAGGCCGCCCTGGCAGCCCCGCGGTGGTGGAGTGGTGATCCTGCAGCGGGGGCGCGCAGCAGAGGCAGCGTCGGCGGGCAGAGGGCAGAGGGCAGCGCAGCGCGGCGGGCGGAGGGGCAGAGGGCAGAGGCAGGTGCCGGCCCCTAGCTGCGATGCGCGCCCAGGGTGCCGGGCGTTGACGCATGAGAACGGCAGAAAGAGGCGAAGGCGTGGGCTGGGGCCGTTCTCGAAGCCTGGCAAGGCGGGGCGGCGCTGCTGTCAACGCCAGAGTGCTGAACGGCTCCAAGGATTTGCAGGCCTCGCGCGGAAACGGCAACGCCCGGCCTCTGCCCGAAGTGCCCTCCCCTGCACCACAATATCCAATATCCACCCAAGGCTCCCAGCGCGTGCAGGGCCCACGCCCGCTGCTCAGGTACGAGTACGGACGGCTGCTCATCATCAGAGCGCGCATCAACGCTTACGGCCGTGGTCGAGCTGGCTACTGCTGCAGGGCTGCAGTGCCAGCCCGCCCGCACCAGTACAGATTGCCCGTCGGTCCCTGGCACTCACTAATCTTAGCTCTACACGCCTTGCCGGTACATAATTACGTCCTGCGACTCCAACGCCGGAGGGGTCTGGCAAGGAACCGCTCTCTCCCATCCGCCGCCGCGACACCTCGACAGCATCGTCTACTCCTCGCCCGCCTACGGTCCAGACCCCCGCCGCTGGCTGCTCGCCCTCCGCCCGACTGCCCTACACCGGATGCCGCTGGCCACGCTGTGACGACAACCCCCCGCCATCACCCCACGGTCCCTTCCTCTCCATCTCTACCTCTCTCCGCGCCTCCCGAGCCATGGCCGGCCACTTCAGTAACATGTCCGGCATGCCGCCATACTTTGCCATGAATGCCCAACGGCCGATGATGCCCATGGACAACAGTTATCCTCCGCCTAGCTTCGCCCACGGCCTGCAGCCCTTCCAGACGCTTTCATCCGAGAACCTCCGCCAGAGCTACGCCGACCTCGACGATCCCAGCCGGACAATGCTTCCCGCCCAAGGCTCCTCCAGAGCCCGTCGGAGGCCGGCGCCTGGCGCTGAGCATGTGAAACACCGCAGGACTCGGAGCGGGTGCTACACCTGCAGAAACAGGCGGGTCAAGGTAGGACTTCGAGACCGCTTCACTTTCACCACCCGAGATGGCTGACATGCGTGTTGCACCAGTGCGATGAGACGCACCCAATCTGTGAAAGTATGCATCTCCCGCTCCGTTTGGTGGCGCTCTGCTAACAACGCCCACCCATGCAGGATGCCGCAAAGGAAACAGAGAGTGCATCTATCCGGAGCCCGCCGTAACCAACAAGTCCAGCCGTACCAAGACCAAAGGTTCCTCGCCTCAGAGCACTTCGTCTGCCGACGAGGAAGATGCGGACGCAAAGGCGCCGCTGCCTTCGATTCCCGATGAGGATGAGCCCTGCGACGGAGCCAGCCACCACGCCAGCGTTTCGACCGCAAGCCGTCGCAGTCGAGAGCCGTCCAATACGCCCTCGTTGACCCACGGCAAGAGCCCGTCTCCCTCTACGGAAGGATCAAGCACAATCCCCCACGCCCAGCCACGGCCTGTGCCATCCCGGACATCCAGTCGATCAAATCTGCGCAAGTCCCCCATGGAACGCACCTGGGCTGAACTCCCGTCCGACGTCCGCTACTATCTCGACTGGTTCCGAAACAACATCACATGCCACCATTACTGCCTGAAGTATGATGGAGCCGACTTCATGCGCACGACCCTGCTCGAGATTGCCGTGCATAACGACCACCTCCTATATGCCGTTGTCGGTTTCGCCGCGTACCACCACACCTTGACAAAACCGGGTGGGAGAATTGCGGACTTCCTTAGCTTCTACAACAGATCGGTCCAGCTGCTCCGCATGTCACTGCAGCGCAACCAGAGACGGACGCCTGCCACTCTCCTGACAATTTTGCAGCTGGCCACTATCGAGGTTTGTCTCTCCTGGCCCGATGCCCGTCGTTTCTGCTCACCGAAATATATAGGAATACCTGGGCGATTGGGTGAGCCTCATTGGCCATCAAAGAGCCGCGTACGAGATAATCACTTCCATGTACACACCTCAGACGATTATGCAAAACGAGACCCTCCGCAGGATCATCACCTGGTATCAGCGCTTCGACCTCATGGGCGGCATCATGTCCGGATATGAAACAGTGCTCGGGCGCGATTGGTTCCTGGCCTGCACCGACTATTACACCCAGCAGACCCGTGACAAACCTCACGATGTGGGTTGCAAGTTCGACGAGAGGTTGTCCTTGTGCCGGTTGTTCGCCAACGACTCGTCGACTTTGTTTGCCAGGAAGGCAAAGGGTCAGATCAGCGATGAGGTTTTTGCAGCCGAATGCATGGCTTTGGAGAAGAGAATCGACGACTGGCTTGACCAGCTTGACCCCTCCCTCACGGATCCGGCGAAACACATAACAAACTTTGACGGGTGCCCCCCACGCGAGGTCAATGATGTCGTTGATCCGTACGATCCGCAATTCATGTACGGCGACGAGCTTTTCCCTATGAACATCGTTTTCATCGATTATTGGGCCATCGCTCTCATGTTCAAGATGCAGCTGTGCAATGTCTTCGAGAGGGAACCGGCTCCAGAGGTACACAAGATTGCTTTTGACATCTGCAAGATGTTTGAGTCACTCGAGATGTACACCAACAGCCCACCAGGCATTGTCGTTGAGGCTAGTGCCGCTCTCGGAATGGGCGTTGTTCATCTTCCCAGAGACGAACAGCACATTACATGGGGCAGGCGCAAGTTTGCCAAGGTGGAAGCGCAAGGGTAAGGCTAAGCACTCACTGCAAGTCTCACTTTGAGGTTCAACACGGCTAATCATTCATGAACCACCAGGTACATATACCCGTCGAGCATGCGGACAGGCTTGAGCCAGGCCTGGGGCGTGGATGTGTCGTACTGGTGGCTGCCAAACAACGAAGCCATGCCCGAAATCGTCTCTCAAATTCGCGGCTTCATCGAGGAACGTGCCACGTTCCCAAAGGATCAGAACAGACAAGATCTCCGTGAAATGCGCGGAATCTTTGAGAACCTCAGCGTCAAGGAGCGAAAAGGAAGTGGAGCCAGCCATGACTCAGCATCTGTTGCAGCCGCTGCTGCTTCTTTCAATCTCGGCGCCACTGGCGAGGAACTTGCCAGCATGGACTTTGGCGCCGGCGATGCCATGATTTACGAGAACAGTCCGGATTATGGGTGGAGCTACAGCCCACAGAGCACTCAGTTCTCGGACCGCTGAGAGTATCAATTCCCAGCAATCCAGGCTTGTGTGGGCTATAGGATCAGAGTTGCACCCATACCGCAACAGTCCCTTATCGGCTAGTCACGGCTACAGGCCGGTAGCTTTCCTGCCCCCTCCTGTCGCAGCTCGTGTCAAGAGATAAGCTCTTGGGGGATCACCACCATCAGACCAACGTTACTTGTGGGTCAAGAATGGTGGCAATAAATGACACTCCACCACGTACGAGTTGCCGCATTCTTCGGACCACCTTCCGACTGGAAAAACAAAGTTGGGCCCTGGCCTGAGAATGACCCACTTCGCGACTCGAGAGAATAGCCGGCGCCACAAGCGTCGTACCTTCCACATTAGGACTGGGCCAACGATACTGGATATTGATCCTTCAGGCTGCGCCGTGCACGCCACCCTCCAAACCGATGAGCAATGCTTGCAGTTGCCATGCTGCTTGTCATCCTCACCTTACCTTCTCATTTTCCATTGTAACAAAGTCAATACCTTTTTGTAGATCCTTGTCTTTTTTCCAGCCCCCTTTGTTTTTGTTACTCTTGATAATTCGCGCATATGCTTCAGTTTTACTTCTTTTTCCTTTTGAGCATCTTGGAGTTCAGCGAATCAGGAGTTCTTCCGCTGGGGTTGTCCTTCTTTTGGTCTTGGAAAAAAGAAAAGGAGGCGAGCAAGCACTTTATTAACACGGCCGAAAAGAATGGGGTCTTGGAGTTATGCAACGAGGGTAACAAAGTATGGGCGCATGCAATCCTAAAAGGTCATTCGGGACCTGGACCAAGGCGTTTTTGTTGGGGTCAGTCTTGCAAAACAAGCAAGCAAAATTCTCGACAGCTGTATTACTAGGATACTTATAACTTTTCCTTGATTCATTTCATTTGTAGCTCAGGATTCGAACAATCGAAACAGCGCGACATCATGAGAAAGCGCTTCATGGATAGTTTTTGCTTGAGATTCTTGCTTTTTATGTACGTGACGGACTGGGTTCAAAATGCATGGATTGTAGAGATGGCCCGTTTCCTTGGCCCACCTCTAGTAAACCTCAAGAACTAGATGGCAGACTGCGCCTTAACACGGTTGTGCAATATCCTTCTCCGGATCAAGGAAAGCGGATGAGCAGAAGGCTTACTATGGAACAGAACTTCGTTTGCTCCTTCGTGTCCCATCGAGAAACCCGATTTGACATCTCCGCCTCATGCCATCGCCTCAACAGTTAAATAGCTACATGTTGATCAATAACATTGCATGCCAAGCCGCCTATACTGTACAGCCAAATATCCAGGGCATCGAAAGGCGAAATGCGGTGTACAGCCCCCCTGAACCCCCCAAGAAAGGAAAGATAGCGATCAAGAGAGAAAAAGGGAAAAGGGCCGCACATCCTCCGCTCACTAAAGGCATAACGACGGAAAGCACTGACGCGGTTTACCTGACGTCACGGACACATATCTCTATTTAGATTCGTGCGTGATACGTGGTACCCGCGATGCACCTTGCACGAGGGGTGGAAAGGCGGGAAGGGGCCGGTCCAACAAAGCGTCGATCTTATTTCATCATGCTATTTTAATCTTACAGCCCAGACCTCCTCCGAAGTGGTAAAGGCACAGCCATGTCCACTCCTTATTTCGCTGCTTCTCAGACTAGGGCGCATTGAGCACTCAATCGCCGCTCCCGAATGGTCGGTACGTGGGGACGAAGGGCGTGCTTGTTTGATTAGGATCTGTTCTATGGGGCCTAGCGGACGGGCATGGAAGGCCCTTCAGCGAGCGAAGGGAGGTTGAATTAAGCACGCCTTGTCTGTGCGGTTGCACATCGATCAAATTTTAACGCGATGGGGCTGTGTGTTCGGATTTGCTAGGTAAAGGAGGATGATTGTGCTATCTGGCCGAACACGAATACGCACCTATCCGAATTCAAGAAGAGCACACGAGTGTCACGCAACTATCGAGATTGTTGGTTGAGGCAGCAAAGGCTCAGTTGCCGACCGCTGCCTGCCGGTAGTGAAGTAAAAAGCAACGCTATACAACCAGTGATGAACGAGTCGCCTAGCGGGGGTATCTGCTCGGAGGCAAGCCGTCCCCTTCCATTACGCCAGCGATCATTCCAGAACGTATCCAGTCTTGCTTCCGCCGCTGAGGCCAGTCTAGCGGGTAAAGAATCTATCCAGTTCTGAGCCGTTTGGAGGAGCATGCCCAATCCAGCCTGAGACCATCAAAGGAGCACGCTAATCAGGTGCTTCACGCACCCTCGCGGCTCTTGCGGTAGCTTGCCTATTGGTCACGATCCGAGGTCAGACTTGTGCACCCGTAAAGTTGCAGCAAAGTAGGAACAGAGCACATGTACGAGTCAAAGCGCGATCAATCGCGGGGACGCACCTCCTGCTCGACCTGCAACTGATCAACCACAGGAGCCAGCTCGCTCAAAATCTCATAGGCCCTCTTGTGGTACTCCAACTGAGCGGCGATGAGGTCGGCAAGGTTGCGGAGCGGCTCGGGCGTGTCCAGGACCTGTGAAATAGGGAACCCCTGTCAGCAAAGGCATTCATTTGACGGGGCGTGCTTCGAGTCTCACATTCTTCATCACACCAACGGCCTCCTCAGTCTGACCAACAAACTCATCCTCGGCCTGCTCGATCTGGGCGCGGGCCTCCTCGGAAATGTGCTCGTCCTCGCCGTCCTTCTTTGCGCCAGGCAGAGCAAACGCACCGCCCTTGGCCTTTGTTTTGGTGGCATCCAGGCTCAGACGAGCATTCTCAACCGCCTTGCGGGCGCGGGTAGCAAACATGATGTTTGTGTTCAGTGTGGTGCTCCAGCCAGCGAGGAAGCGACTCTGGATCTGGGCGTCCTGGGCAAGGCGAGCCTCACCGACCTTCTCCATGGAGATGGCATACTTCTCGAGAGCGGTGGACAGCGGGTCATCCGAGGAGCCACCGTGATCCTGGCTCAGGATGGCGGAGCTATTGAGGGAGGCGCGAGCGATTGCGTGATTAAAGGTCTTGGGCTGCGGCTTGGCCGATGGCGGGGCGGTCAGGGCAGCCTGGGCCTCGGCAGGAGAGGTGGCGGAAGAGAGCAAGGTGACCTTCTCGGACACGGTGCGGCCAAGATCGTTGAACGACTCACGGATGTTGGTGGGATAGTCGTAGGCCTCATTGGTGTATTGGGAGCTGGGCGGGGTCAGCGGTGAGGAGCGGCGGGGCGGCAGCAAGCGGGAAGACGTACGTGACCTGCAGCATCTTCTGGTGGACTTGCTTCAGGGCATCGACGCGCTTCTCGAGCTCAATGTAGTCGGGGGGGAGCTGAGTCTGCAAAAGCGGTGCGGGTGAGCGAGCGGGCGCGGGGGGCTCGGAGCAGCGTGAGCGGTTACCTTGTCTTCAGCCTGGCCCAATTGCTCTTTGACATACTGCTGGGTGCGAGCAGCAAAGGGCGTGAACGAGGCACTGCGGGAGCTCTGGTCAGCGGAAAGCGGGAGGGCAGGCAGCGGCGCGGCGGGAGGCGGAGGCGGCGCGGCGGGCGAGCAGAGACTGCGGGAGAGGGAGCACGCACGAGAAGTTCTTGCCAAAGGCCTGAAATTTGTCCATGGCTGCGGCGGGTGGTGGGGATGCTGGGGGCGGAATGGAGGCTGCTAGTGGAGAGGCTTTGAGGGACGTTAGGTCGCGACTGCCTGCGCATGTGAGTCGGGCTGCTGCTTGACCCTGGAAGAGGCAAGGTCGCATCTGCCCCCGCAGCCCCGGCTCGAGCTCCCAACCCGGAAACACCACCCTCTCTACCTGACACGCTGTCCTCCACGCGCGCCTCGCCTCCTGCCGCCTCTGGGATTCCGCCTGCCTCCTCTCCAAGCCGGTCTGCGCCTGCCGCTGCTTTTTCGTCCCGCCTGGATCCTGGAGCGTCGCCGCGACGACCGAGTCTGCTGCACCCATGCCTAGCCCTCGCTGAACTCACGCCTCTACGCGTCTAGGGCCTCCAATCGCTCAAAGAGCACCTGTCCGCGGGCAACTGGGCGCTTATCAATGGCGCACGCCGTGTGGTCCACGCAGAAGAGGCAGGCTGGTCCTATCTCCAGACCACCACGCCAACGCTCAGCCAGCCGTGTCGCCTGTTCCTTGTCTGCCAATGTCCGCCGCTTCGTAAGCCCAGTCGACATGCCCTCTGAAGGGGCTGCGAAAGTACCAGGCACCAAAACCCCCGTTTGCATCCGCGATCTCTCCCCCCTGGGGACCACCAGGATGTTCCGAGTTCAGCAGGAATCTGCCCGAAGACCGCGCGGCATGCCAACAGCCTGCCAATCTCGAGGTGCCAATCCCACAGCGAGGATCGACAGCCGGTACTTAGGTCCAGCCGTGTGCGAACTCCGAACGTCTAAACGTACACCTTCGAACTGAACCTCCAACCGTACTTGAAAGCCAACTATAGACACGACCTTGACCTGCATTTGGCAGTCCAGCAGGTGCTAGCTTCTGTGGTCCGGTCTCCATCATCCCGCTCTTGGCTGGCCCCGGCAATATCTCGGCCTCCAAAAAAAAAAAAAAAAAACGGAGTGCCCAGATGCATCCTTCGTCTTGCCCACGCCGAAGCCAACGCCTTCGCAAGTACGAGATGTGTCATTTTCCGTCCTGGAAATTTCCTCATAAGCACCGGTTGCTTTGCACTTCTCCAACAACTACCGATATGGTCGTACTGGCCGCATGGCCCAATGGCAAGGCGCTTGACTACGAATCAAGAGATTGCAGGTTCGATCCCTGCTGTGGTCATTTCTTTTGTCCCTGGTGCGTCTGGGGGTGTTCTTTTGTCTGTGTGGTCATCTTTTTGCTTCCGGATGCTCCAGTACGGTGCTGACGCACGTTCTCTTTGGCAGGATCATTGGGAACCGCTGTGGTAAACAGGAACAAATTGTTCAGTGCTCTGTACAGAGCTACGAGCCTACGCTCTGTGAGTTAAGTCGGTGCTAACGCCACGGCCATGACACGATGGCCCCGCAGATGCTGTACTCTTGATCCCATTCCGCTCCCAGTTCTAATTTGTCGTTTACCTCTGCCAGTCCCTCAATGGACTGGATTCCTAATTGCTTTGACCGGATGAGATGACCGTGAAAGACGACTCTCAAAAGACAGCTGGAAAAATGTTGCTCATCCCCATGTTGGGAGAACAACCCCGCAGAGCACCTCCGCCTTGTCCCATGACACCGGGATACGTGCAGGCTTCGTTGCAAATACGCTTATTGTAAATACAGGAGGCCACTGGTTTCTCAAAACAGTCCTAAACTATGCGGGAAACTCGCAACTTTCTGATTCCAAGGGGGATGCGCCTTTCTTTGAAAAGTCAAGTAGGGACTCGACCCGGCAATGGGTGCCGAACTGTCCGTAGCAGCGGCAAACGAAGCCCAGGAGCACTTGGTATCAGTGAGTTTGGTCGAGGTCCGTGTGCGATTGAAAGAGTGGCGGGAAGAAGCGCATGGACCGAACAAGCGCCTGGAGCGACAGCGCTTCAATAGAGCTCCGACCTTTGACAACATTGAAGATGCATCCAGACCGTCTGATGACGGTAGACTTCGGCCAAGTGGTGCTTTACGGCTACACCGCCACACGGACCATCACGCCACCCGCCATATCCGCAAAGTGTTTCCATATCTTGTGCAAGACTTCGCTTGAAGGCTCGTTCCGTAAGTAGTCAAATAGCGAAAGCAAAAGCCGCTGTCGTCTTACCTCTTCTCCTACTTTCTGCTATGCAGTGGCATCGAAATGCTGTCACCATTTGTTGAGGGATGGACCCAGATATCGGCACTGAGATGGCTGAACGGCTCCGCGGCTTTCTTTTTTTCGACCATTCCTCTAAATTCACAACTCCTGTCGTCCGGGCAGGAGTTCCGTCCACGCATGGTTGTTCTGGTATCGCGGCGCTTTCTAGGCAGCACAAGTGCGGAGCTGCTGTCATATCATGTGCTGATTACAATGGGTGATAGCATTCTGGTGGGCAAAGCGGCGCCTGTGTTGACGCCCCGGCAAGCAAAAGTTACTCAAACAGGAAGGGCGCCGACATGGCCATCGGCGCCACCTCGGAAACAGGCCTCAGCCACCGTAGGAGACCAACCTAGATTGCTTACCGGAGAGCAATTAGTGGTGCGTTGACGTAACTAAAATACTCACCTTGAGCTATCCTAGATTGTTGTCAAGCGTGGAACAGGTTGCCGTTGTCGATGCGCGGCTCGCTGGACGGGGCAAAATGCTGGCAGCATATCAACTACCGGAATGCCTGTATCCTGGGAGTGGCCACTGACATCCCAAGGGACTGGCCCCGGTATTACAGGACGCACGTACGAGCAGCGGATGCAAACAGACAGCAAGAGGTGGGCCCGAACCGTGCGACCTCACAGGCTCGCCGAGTCATGCCCCACCGACGAAAAGGAGGCGGTTGAGGGCGCCGTTGGTCTCACTAGCCTTGGAAGCTCCATATGCACCTAGAACAACCATATCCGCGGCGCGACGAGCTGTTCTAAAGGTCTCCTGCACTACTTGTCCACGTCTTCTCGAGGGGACCAATCTACTTCAAACGCTGCTTCCCTCGTATTGGGCACTCGGCCAGGTCAACATCTGCGGTTATGCCGGAAGGGTCTGCCTCGCAGTTGTATCCGTTTGCGCAACGCGCCGCTCCTTTGAGATCGTCGTCCGTCCCCGTTCCTGCCCAGTGCGGCCGCCCCACACCGCTCCCGAATCCCCAGACACTGGCCACTTTTGCATGAGGTTCCGGCCATCGTTGCGCCGTATAAGACTGCCCAGTCATGGTGCGCTGACATTAAGGTCAAACCGTCCTTTCTCCCTCTCTGACAGAGCACTGCGTCCTTGCCAATATGATGGGCAAGATCGAGTCTGATACGGACTCACAAAGTTCCATTGAACATGAGCTCGCCGCTGCCCTCCCGAAAACCGACCGACCGTGGTGGAAACAACATCACTTGCTGAAGCTTAATCTCAGCATTGGCTCTATTTTGATGTTTTGTACGCTAGAATATTCCAGTTCTTTATGTATCCGACTAAGGGCCTATAGCATCCGCCAACGGCTACGACGGCACGTTGATGAACAGTCTTCAGGCGTTGACACAGTGGAATGAGTTTATGAGCCATCCGACAGGAGCTTGGCTTGGTTTCATCAATGCAGTCTATTGGTTGGGTGTTGGCACTGTAGGTCTACCAACCCTGGCTTCTGTCCCGTTTAACTACGTCAATCTCCGACATTTGGCTTACTCTTCAAGTGCTTCCCATTAGCTGCCTTTGTTGCCAATGAATACGGCCGTAAGCCCGGCATCTATGCTGGTGTCCTGTTCCTTATTCTAGGAACGACCCTTCAGGCAGCTTCCCAGAATGCGGGCGCATTTGTTGCCGCCCGTTTCTTCATAGGCGTAGCTGGGTCTTGGTTCGGCGCCTGCATCCCCGTCTTGATCAATGAAATCGCCTACCCTACCCACCGCGGCATCGTCAACGCCCTCTACAATTGCGGCTGGCATGCTGGCAGCATCGTCGCTGCCTGGGTTTGCTTCGGTACCCGCAACATGGAGTCCTCTTGGAGTTGGCGTCTTCCCTCGCTGTTACAGATTGCGCTTCCCGCCCTGGCCCTACCAGGTCTGATGACCGTCCCGGAAAGTCCCAGGTGGCTGGTCTCGATGGCGAGGATCGATGAGGCCAGGAGAATTTTGACCGCCTGCCACAGCGCAGGAGACGCCTCCTCCCCTCTGGTGGCTCACGAACTCACGTCAATTGAAGCAGCGCTCAAGGACGAGACTCTGGCCAAGGGGAAGACGTCGTATGCCGACATGATCAAGACGCCGGGAAACCGCCATCGGCTGTTCATCAGCATTACCCTGGGCATTTTCGCACAATGGTCGGGCAACGGCGTTGTCTCGTACTACTTGGCCTTGGTGCTTTCGGCCTCCGGTATAAAGAAGTCTAAGGACCAGCTACTCATCTCCGGCTGCATGCAGATTTGGAACCTAATCTTCTCGGTTCTTGCCGCCGTTTCCATCGATCGCTTGGGGAGACGGACTCTCTTTCTATCCTCGGCTGCTGTTATGCTTGTCGCGTACATTGTCATCACTGGCCTCTCTGCATCGTTTGAGCAGACAGGCACGGCGTCAGTTGGCCTTGCAAACGTTTGCTTCCTGTTCATCTTCTATGCAGGGTTGGCCACCATTCCCTTCCAGTCCAGACCACACATGCTGACAGCACCAGGTACGACATCGCGCTGACACCTCTTCTCACTTCATATCCCACCGAGTGCTGGGGGTTTGCGCTGCGAGCAAGGGGGAATGCCGTCACGTGGTACGCCACTGTCGTTGCAATCTTCTTCAACACTTTCGTGAACCCAATCGCTCTGGATGCAATCGGCTGGCGATACTACATCGTCTTTGTGGTCGTGCTCATACTCTACGGAGTGACGGCGTACTTCTGTTATCCCGAGACCAAGGGCATGACACTTGAGCGCATTGCTCTGGTTTTTGATGGGGATGACGAGGTACCAGAGGCTGCATCTGAAATCAATATGGCGGTAGAGACAATCACGGTGCAGATTAAAGTCGTTGCGATGGTGGATAGTAGCACCCTACGTACAACCTAACCCTCCCGTCACACCATCGGATCTAGCTCCTGGGCCAATGGCTAGCTAGAGGCGCCCTCCACTGGAGATAGCAGATGCTTATATGCGGACCTAACAGTTAGATGCGGAGTTAGTCACTTCGGGCGGAGTTAAGCAATCCTATTCCGTCTAATGCAAGTGCTAATTACGCGCACACTCGTCGTAAAAGTCTCACTACGTTAGGCCGGGTCTGGTAATGGCCGAACACCGAGCCTTAGACAAGCCGAGTGCGCTCGGTATATTTCTGGGAAGCTATAAGGAGGCCCACCCCAAATACGCAAACTCCACAAGCTTGACACACAATTCGAGCCCGAATACCGTCCGTCATGTCCACACATCTTGCTGCTGTTCTCCCGGCCAAGGGCTCGACCATAGAGGTCAAGGACCGTCCCACACCAACTCCAGGTCCTTCGGAGCTTCTGATCAATGTGAAATCCGTCGCAGTGAACCCGCTGGACTGGAAGCAGCAACTCTCCGGGTTCATGCTCAACCAAGGATTTCCAACCGTCCTCGGCTCCGACGTGTCCGGCATCGTCCTTGCTGCCGGTTCTGCAGTCCCGGCGGATGCTCCAAAACCCGGAACACGTGTTGCTGCATTCGCTCCCTGTTTCTTCACACAGGGTGCCGCAGACTACGGTGCGTTTCAGACACGCGTCCTCGTTCCAGCAGCCAACGCTGTGGCTTTGCCGGAGCGCGTCGACTTCGACGAGGCAAGCACCCTCCCAATGGCGGTGGCAACCGCCTGGAGCGGCCTGTACACACTCGGGGTTCCGCGTGAGACGGCCTTCAAACACGTCGACAAGCAAGCCTTTCTGGTCTGGGGCGGAGCGAGCAGCATCGGCACCGCCACCATTCAACTGGCCAGCTCGATGGGATTCTCCGTCTACGCCACAGCCAGCGAGAAACACCACGACTATCTGAGGACACTGGGAGCCAAGAGGCTGTTCGATTACCGCAATGGGGCCGTGGTGGAGGACATCATCAGGACGGCGAGGGAAGACGATGTCACCCTCCAGCTTGGCTTCGACGCCGTTGGAGCGCTTGAAAGCTGCCTGCAGGTTTTGAAGAAACTGAATCCTAGAGGGGCGAAGCTGGCGTCCGCACCGCCGCTCACTCCAGATTCGCCGCAGATGGAGGGGGTGGAGCTCAAATTCGTTTCGGCACCGAACGACCCGGATAAGCTGGCCGACTTCTTCCGGTTTGTTTTTGGCGTTTGGCTTAAGAAGAAGCTGGACGCTGAAGAGTTCATCCCAAGCCCCAAGGTCAAGGTCATCGGAGGAGGATTGCATTCTGTGCAGGCTGCGTTGAACGAGTCAAAGGCAGGCGTGAGCGGTGTGAAGCTGGTGCTACAACTGTAACGATGGGTGTATTTTTTCAGTCCTTCATGACCTACGCTTTGTACACGCAAGCTTTAGTAACAATTAACGACGTCGACAAGGAAATTTCTGCGACGGGATGACTGCTGAGCCCATGTGTGCGGTTTGCTGGTTCTCGCAGCATGACCTGGACACTCTGTGCAGGGATTGCCCAATTACTCATTGGATTGCCCGATACCACAGTGGGTGCAGAAAGGAATTGACCCTACCTACATCTATCTCACATACGCCGTAGGATCTTATATCCAGATGCATTTGTATAGTTTCGGTAGATGCATTTACGTCCGGCAATCTGCTTCACCTCCTCATGGAGAAAGGATGTTTGAACCTCCATTTGCGTCGGGATATCTTCTCCGACTGTCCACATAAATCCCTGTAGGTCAATTTCTTTCGTCACCCACTGTGATACCCACCACAAGACCAAATACCAAAAGGCAGGCGAACAGCCAAAGGGAAAACAGTGAGCATGCCGGCACTGCTTGATACTGCATAAGAGAAAAAAGAAAAGAATAGCTGAACGGGTCTTGCCGCGGATCTGGGATGCTGTTAGCTGGGATCCCTCAGGCAGGATTCGAATTCGAATCGACGACTTACCGAACGCTGGGCCTCTCTCATGCAACTCAGGGTATGCCCTAAGCGAGAATCATTCCACTACCGACCACGATGCAATAACGCTCGCATAGGTCTGTATTGGCGGCAGTGAGCTGGAATCTATAGCTTGAACCGTGGGTTAGTGAGAGGAGGGCCGAGGGTTGATCGCAACAGGCCAGGCACTGAGTGAGAGCACCTGGCTCCCCAGAGAGACGCCGCACTACTCGGCGGCATTCGCTACTAGAAGACAGTTTCGTTCTATTGCGTCCTTCAGGATCTTATCATCGTGTAACATGGACTCTTTCCCCCTGAAGCTCATCTCTGGAAAGGCCAGCTCTCCTGGCAGTCGGTGAACTTTCAGCCGTCACACAAACACCTCTTCGAACAGCCACTTTGCTACCTCGGCATGCATTTTCTCCGTCCTTCTCCTTGCAGAGCTCCTCTTCTCTCCGATCGCGACCATCTGATTGAAGCCGTGCGGCTGCGCCAGAACCTTCTCCCACCTCACGTTCCTCGTGCGCCAACCAGACTCCCCTTCCGGCATCTTGCTTCCCTCGCCCTCTTCCGCAGCTAACTGCTCGGCCATCCGCTCAGCCTCATCGCACAGCATATCCAGCTCGCATCCGATCAGACAGATCTTCTGGGGCAGCTTGGATCTTGGCGCGAAGACGGGACTCAGCAAGGGATCCCGCAAGTCCTGTCTCTCAGGGACGTAACCCCACCGCACCCATCCGAAGCTCTGGTTCGGTGCATCTCTTGCCACGCTTGCCTGGGCCCGAGCGACCCTCGCTGCATGGTCGAGGGCAAAGTCGACGACAGGATAGAATGACACGGCTCCTTTGATCCGGCCACTCTCGCTCAGGCCTCGCAATTGGCTCGCCGCAAGACACAGGTTTCCACCGGCCGAATAGCCGCAGATGGCGACGCGGGAACGGTCGACTGGGAGAAGCGGGTCATCCAGAATTGCTTCGACAAGCGCGGCGACATCGTGGACTTGATTGGGGAAGCGCGACCGCGGTGCAAGGCGGTAGCCGACATTTGCCACGGCAATGCGGTGGTTGTGGGCGTAGAGAAGGGCGTCGGCGTCATCGACGGTGGGCGCACCCAAGGCAAAGCCGCCGCCATGGACGGAGATGAGCAGAGGGGGCGAGGTTGCGGTGCCGCGGGGGGAAGCGGATGGAAGGAAGATGCGGACAGGAGAATGCGGGGCGCAGGGATAGGTCCGGGTAAGCGATGGGCGCGGTCGCAAGCGCAGGAGGGAGAGCAGGCGGAGGAGGGAGGTGTAGACGTGCACGACTGACTTCAGGGTCCAGACGGCGCAGAAGTCGGCCAGATTCCGAGGGAAGCGGATGGGCGCGGATGGCAAGGGGTCGGTTGGGCCATTGCTGCTGGGGAAGAGAAGGTCGGGGCCGGGCATGGCTGGGTGTCGGATGGTGTTGACTCGGGCTCGGGGTCTGGCCGAGGAGCAGCATCATAGGTTGATGCTGACCGGAGATTGAAAGTCCGCGTTGTCGTTGCGCCACAACATCATCCCACCACTATGCAACAGCCACACATCAGGAACACGACGGGAATATTAATTGATCGGCTAGAAACGCTATGGTACGTTTCGAAACAGGTCTCCCGACAACGCGGCATGTGGCGCTGCTTGGACACTCGAGGCGGCTCAATATGCGAAGCAGTTCATACATCCGTTGGTGGCGTGGCCGCATGAATTACACCAGTTGGAGGGACTGCCCCCGTCCCACGTCGAGTCGCAGCTACAGCACACCCACGGCATTTTGACGAACGGATTGGTGTCCTGCTGCGCGTCTTGGGAGCAGCCGTGCAACATGGGAAACTGCGGACAAGAAAGCCATTGCGGGGCGACGCGCGACGTCTTTGTATACCTGGCGGGCAGCGGCATGTGCAGGGCCCCTGTCTCGGAGTGTGACCACAGTGAGTCTGCACCGCAGCAGCGATTGTTAGCGCGAAAGGGGAACAAAGCCGGCCAAACGCCATCCCAACAGGCTGCTCCGGGGGACCATCGACTCCGGCTTGTGGCACGTACAGTGGCCCGCGGTAGGTAGCAGGACGCGAGAGAACAGGCAGGAGAGAGCGGCGCGGGCAGGCCCCGGTCAGAGAGGTCGAACGACGTACAGAAAGGGAAGCGGTGTTCAGAGGGAGGGTGGGAGGCTCTACAGAAGGCGCCGGCTGGGGCGATCAGAAGGCGCGGAAAGGGCAGCTAGGACAAGGAACGGAAAGGAAAGCAGCAGGCATGGAGATGGAAAGAGACGCGGAAGGGCTTTTGAAGTCAGTAGTCATTAAACAGCACGAGAGCGAGATTCGAAACAAGCGCCTATGATGATCAGCAATGTGTGTAGTGACGGCGCAAGCGGGGGCTCGAGAAGCAGCCAGGACCACGCCCAGCACGTGGAGGGGCACCTGAGGGTTGCGCGTGGCCGATCAAGGGGCTGTGAGACGGTTGGGGAGCGCCGCGTCTGTGCGAGAAATGACTTCATCTGCCGCCCTCTCGCCTCTGCTCCAAAACACCATCCATCAGCCATCCCACGCCCCGCGCCCCGCGCCCCATGCCGCCCGCACCCCCCGCCAGCGCCATCCGCCGTGCCATTGGCACTCCTGCCTTCGTCTATGGCACCGCCTGGAAGAAGGACGCCACCGCGAGCCTCGTCGCCGCCGCCCTGGCTGCCGGCTTCGTGGCCGTCGACACGGCCGCCCAGCCGCGCCACTACCAGGAGCCGCTCGTCGGCCAAGGCATCCGCGACGCCCTCAGCGCTGGCCGCCTCGCCAGGGAGCAGATCTATGTATGCGTCTAGAGCCGGGCAGCCCTGTTGACACGCCTAATGCAGGCCCAAGGTCCAAACAAAGTTCACGGCGCCGGCGGGCCAGGATCCCGACAATATGCCCTACTCGCCCGAGGACCCCGTCGCCGCCCAGGTACACGCTTCTGTCAGGTCGTCCTTGGTGAACCTCGCCGTCGGCTCCGAGGCGTCGTACATCGACTGTCTGCTGCTCCACTCTCCGCTGCCCAATATCCGGCAGACGCTGGAGGCGTGGAGGGCCATGGAGACGTACGTGCCGCACCAGGTCCGCCAGCTGGGCATATCGAACGTGTCGCAGCCCATCCTCGAGGTGCTCTGCCGCAGCTCGACGGTCAAGCCGGCCGTGGTGCAGAACCGCTTCTATGCCGCGACCGGCTACGACGTGTCTCTGCGCCACTTCTGCCGCGAGCACGGTATCGTCTACGAGAGCTTCTGGACGCTGACGGGCAACCCGCAGCTCCTGCAGTCAACGCCCGTCTTCATGCTGGCGCAGTTTGCCGGCGTCAGCGCCGAGGTTGCGCTGTATGCGCTGGTCATGGCCGCAGACGTGGTCGTCTTGAACGGCACCACCAATGCCGCCAGGATGAGAGAGGACCTGGAGGGCATCCAGAAGGTGCAGGCGTGGAGCAAGACGAAAGAGGACTCCTGGAACACCATCCTGGGAGACTTCAAGCACATGGTTGGGGACGGCGAGGCGATGGACGAGTGAAGCGTGCATGAAGACCGGGGGTGCCAGCGCTGCCAGCGCTGCCATGTAGAGAAGCATAGGTACACAGTAGTAGAAGTGGTTTGCGTGACGGGCAGCTTTTGGCGAGGGCTGGAGAAGCTACTAGTACAGAACAAGGATGGCCGCCCGGCGCGTTCTGCCACCGCCTCCGGGCGGTGCGTTCCAAAAGTTTCTTGAGCGGCCACGACCTGAGCGCCTCCCTCCATCGTCGTGAAACCCGCCAAAATGCCGTCCATCCACAACAGAGACAAGCCGTGGGACACCGGTGACATCGACAAGTGGAAGGTACGCTTGCTCCCCCTCCCCTTCACACCCAGCCGCCCGCGCCCTCTGTCTGACCCTGCGCCCAGATCGACGAGTTCAAGCCCGAGGACAACATTGGCGGCACCTTCGCCGAGGAATCCTCCTTCGCAACCCTCTTCCCCAAGTACCGCGAAGTCTATCTGCGCGAAGCATGGCCTGTCGTCACCCGCGCCCTCCAGAAGCAGGGCATCGCCTGCACCCTTGATCTCGTCGAAGGCTCCATGACCGTCAAGACCACCCGCAAGACCTACGACCCCGCCGCCATTCTCAAGGCCCGCGACCTGATCAAACTCCTCGCCCGCAGCGTCCCCGCACCCCAGGCCCTCAAGATCCTCGAAGACGGCCAGGCTTGCGACATCATCAAGATCCGCAATCTGGTCCGCAACAAGGAGCGTTTCGTCAAGCGCCGCCAGCGCATCCTCGGTCCCGACGGCAGCACCCTCAAGGCTCTCGAGCTGCTCACTGGCTGCTACATCCTGGTCCAGGGAAACACCGTCTCCGCAATGGGCGGCTACAAGGGTCTGAAGGAAGTGCGCCGTGTTGTCTTGGACTCCATGGCCAACATCCACCCCATCTACCACATCAAAGAGCTCATGATCAAGCGCGAGCTCGCAAAGGACCCTGATCTGGTCAACGAGAGCTGGGATCGCTTCCTGCCCAATTTCAAGAAGCGCCACACTTCCAAGCGTCGCGTCCCCCACAGGCTCACCGACAAGAGCAAGAAGGTCTACACTCCCTTCCCGCCGCCTCAGGAGAAGAGCAAGGTCGATCTCCAGATCGAGAGCGGCGAGTACTTCCTTGGGAAGCAGGCCAAGGAACGCAAGGAAAAGGAAAGGAGGGAGGAGGCCATGCGCGAGAAGATGGAAGAGAAGCGCAAGGCCCGTGCCAAGGAGTTCGAGGCCCCCAAGGAAGATGTGGGTGGCAAGGAGAAGAAGCGGAAGCGGAAGGAGGAAGACGGCGAGAAGAAGAAGAAGACGAAGAAGAAGAAGGCATCGGATGACGGTGACGAGTAGGTCATGCCGGTGTCGCTGCGAAAAAAAAAAAATCGGGCATTTGCGTCGGCGTTTTGGGATATCCAGGTGCTCAGTAGGTCTTTACTCTGCGGGAATTTCGCAACCGATCAAAGATGGGGTCAATCGATTCACAGCCCCTCACCCAAACGAATTAGTCATGGGGAGGCCATAGTAAGCAGGCTCGGCGATCAAGTGCTTGTGTGACTTTTTGCTACGAATACATTCAAAACGCGAACTAAACAAAACCTCCGTCAGCCACACACACAAACACACACGCAAGGCCGATCCTTTCCGCACAAACCGCCGCTACTTCATGCCAGCTGCATCTCAAACGAGTCCACGAGCACAGAGCCGCCGAGAGCCTGGGTGGCGAAGTTGAAGATGCCGAAGCGGTAGCCGATGAAGTACTGCCAGGCCGTGTTCATTGTGAACGCCGGACCCAACCTAGTAAAGGTCGCTCCATCAACGCTGTACGAGAAGACTCCCTGGTGGGTCCCGGCGGGAGCGATGTCAACCTCGACCTTCAGATAGACCTTGGAGCCAGAGATGCCAGCGCTTGCGACCTCGGTACCGGTGCTATTGGTGTTCCAGCTAGAGTCCATTGTGATGCCTTCCCACATGGCTACCTTGGTTGCACCGTCGTCCTTGACGATGCCGATCCAGGCGGACTGGTCACGGAAGAGGGACAGGCCCGCGCGGTCTCCGTCAGTCATTGACGAGTAGTCCATCACAATGGTGCCTACTGAAGCAGGGCCAATGATTCTGTGAGTCAGAGTATTGCGCGCAGCGTAGAGATCACCCGTCACCGTGGCCGCCTGCAGCCTCAGCCCTCCGTCAAGCGACCACTTCGTGTTGTCGGGATTATGGTTCCACTCCCACTGATGGCTGAGCGATGAGCCCGAGAACGTGTCTATGCCGACCGGGGACTGGACCTCCTGCGACGGCGTCGGTACATCTGGAGAAGGATACGTGTCTCCCCAGACCCCATCAACAAGCGTGACGGACGGCCAGCCTTCGTCATCCCAGGTTATGGGCGCAAGGACGGGCATGCGGCCGCCCGGGTATGCGTCGATAAAAGACATGTAGTACCAGTCTCCGTTGGGCGTGTCAACAATGCCACCCTGGTGCGGAGCGCCGCCGCCGGCGACAGGAGCGGCAACTCTATCCACGAGGTAACGGCCTTCATAGGGGCCGAATGGGCCGGTCGTCGATTTCAACACGTACTCTGCGTCTGGAGGCCGGGTGAGGAAGATGTAATAAGTGTCGTTGATTTTGTAGAAACGGGATCCTTCAATGTAGCCTGGATCCGAAGGCGATTTGAAGACGACTTGAGTGCTGACCTGGGTGGTTCCATCGGCCGACAGCTGGGCAACGCTGATGTTGGTGGAGCCGTAAGCCACGTACAGCGTGTCGTCGGCCGGATCGATCAAAAGGCCTGCGTCGTAGTAGCAGTTGTCGATGATGGCATGCTTGCTCCATTCCCCAGATGGGTCGGAAGCTGTGTAGATGTGCGTCTTGAGGTCCGAGCGCATGCAGCCACCCCAGTAGAACAGCTGGTTTGCGGGCCGGTAGTTGCAGAATGACGCCCAGATGCCTTGCACGTATGCCTGGCCACCATTGAGATCATAATTGTCTCCGAAATCCAGCACCGGAACGCTGTGGCCGATGAACTCCCAATTGACGAGATCGTAAGAGCGCAGGATGGGGGCGCCAGGCGAATAAGCCATCGTTGAGGCCGAGTAATAGAAAGTATCGTCCACTCTAAAGATGTCGAGGTCCGCCAGGTCCTCCCAGAGCACTGGGTTGGTAAAGTCGGCCACCGCTACCGCCGCGGCACCGCCCAAAAGCATGGCGGCCGCCTTGGTGAACCTTTTGCATGCCATGGTGGTTGTAGAGAGCAGGTATTTGGAGCTTCAACCTACCGCAACGCCCGCAATATATACGCAGGCCAAGACATGGTGGAGTTTATAGAAACGAGGTCACATTGCCATGTTACTCGGCATTTTCAGTCAACGAGCATCCACAGTTAAGAATCGATCCACCGCAACATAACATTTGGGGTATAGGAATCGCCAAGGATAGAAGGCCTGAGCAAAGCTGCCAAGCCGTGCTCGCTTTGAACTGGAACCCACCAATGAGGCCACTGGGCGCTGCATGTTCCGGTGGGATAGTTGCGGAATCCCACACCGACGGACTCCATTTAATTTATCCGGCTAAAGCTATACGATCAACTATTCTACTAACTAGTACTATAACTACCTCTCCCTATAAAAACCGTACTTAATAATTATAAAAGAAATAACGCTAAGATTAGTACTAATTAACTTATAGTTAATAATTTAGCTATAATTTTAAGTTCTAGTATAGTAGTAGAACCCGGCTATTACTAGCTATAAACGGTACTAAATAGTAAAACTAACTAGTAATATAAGCGCTAATAAATAGCTAGTCGATTAATAAAGAAATTAAACTAGTATTATAATAGTATAATATAACTACCGGCCTTAAATAGTATTAAATAATAGAATTAACTAGTAATATAAGCGCTAGTAGATAGCTAGTTAATTAATAAATAGACTAAACTAGCGTACTATTTTATCTTTTATTTAATAGCTAAGTAGCTATTATCGTTTTTTATAATTATAGCGTTTTCTTTTATTTAATAAACGAATAGCTATTATCTACTCTTTATATTTATACTAGTTATTAAAATATATATATAATTAGTAAATTTAATACTATTTACTATTATATAATATAAATAAATAATAAACTATTAAAATATAAATACTAAATACTACTTAAAAAGGTTTTATATAAAGTAACATTATTAGTTTAAATAAAAATTAAAAACTTTAAATTT